GAGGAGAAGGGAGGAGGGAAGAGGTGGGAGGAGGAGGAAAGAAGAAGAAGAAGAAACAAAAATTGAGAAAAGAAAAAGATATATAAAATTTTTAAATGATTAAGGAGAAAAATATTACTTTGAAAATAAAAAATACAAATAGAAATAGAGAAATACAGGGCCTCCTTCAGGGTATGCCTCTGTTAACACAATAGACAGCATGGGAAGAAGTGTGCAGGTCTAAGTCAATTAGTCTCAGCAAGCCAGCAGCTGTCCCCTGAGGTCCAGGCTGATTTTGGGCTGCAAAGCCCAAGTTGAGATCTCTGTCCTCCTGCTGAGTTGAACTCTGCAAGGTTCTACCACAGGTTCCGATGTGAGGTGCTGGTCCCTCAGACTTACCAACTATGGTGGTGTGATGTGCCTTTATGGCAGATTTTCTTCACATGTCTAGTGGTCTTCAATTTTTATCTAGGAGTCTCAAAGAGGCCCTCTTTCTCTTGTTCTCGGGGGGGAGGGGCTTCTCTGGGACGGGCCTACCAGAGGTTCGCAAGCTGCTGCTGGGCTCTTCTGGTGCACTGAGTCAAAGGGCTTGCCCTGATGTCCTCACAGCTGAGCCACCCACTTTCCTGGAGTCACTTTTGAACTTGATCTAGCGCTTTTGCTTATAGCATAGTTTACAAGATTCAACAGTAAAGAAGCAGCACAGGATGTGACATAAGTTTGGGAGCCGCTGCGAGTCTCCTCTACTTTTTGACAGACTCTGTACATCTTCAAATGTCATTTCTTGGAACTCTCAGATGGATTTATCTTCTTTAAAGAAATAAACTTTATTTAAATAGCATCCACAAATAAGAAGTATATTCTGCAACAATTAGAGTTTTAAAAAAGAAAAAACATATTTAAGGCAAGAATTTAAAGTTAAGCATTTAATTCTGTTCCAGACTCCTTCCCCTGTTGCTTTCATCAGCATTGTCTTGGCCTAATTTGGGGTTCCTAAAGTCAGACTGCCTTCTTTTCTCTTTGAATGTGTTATTATCAATACTGTCCACACTGTCAAGCACTCTGCTTGAAACAACTGCAGAAGCAAAGTCTTCAATATGCTGTTTTTAGAAATATAAAAAAGTACATTTCAAAAGGCATATCACTCTGTAGTGCAATTTAACAACAAATATTAAAAATATGCTTACCCATTGCCCTCAGCAATTCTGTTCCTAGAAATGTATTATGAATAAGTACAAAACCCTGCCAGCACATTTTGAAAGAAAGAAAAATTAGAAAACAACCTAAATACTCAACAATAGGCAATTAATTAAATTATAGCATACTATAGAAGGGAGGCATTAAAGTAGTTTTATTGAAGATTGTTTCACAACATAGGAAAATATTCATGATATATGAAAAAGCAAAAATATACAACATGAACCTATTGGATAAATGTGTGTATAGGAGGGCATACACAAAAATTCCCTTTTTAATAAGTAACTATTAACTTTCTTTGTGTTTAGCTATGTTTTAAATAAATATATACATGACAAAATCAAGTTTTTCTTTTTTAAAAAATTGCTGCTGCTGCTGCTGCCGCTGCCACTTTTTACTACTGAGGAAATTATGCTTTTAGTGGCCTTTCATATCTCATCAGAGAGAATGGCAGGAAGAAAGCTCATCAACCATGAGGATGGCAGCTTACTGAGATGGAAAACAGACATGTAGGGTAGCAGGGAATAATGATCAGGATGGGCCAAATCAAATTTAACAGGGCTAGGACCAAACTCCTGTCTGGAAGATCATGAAAGCCTCTCTGCACAGCCCCAGAATGGGTGGCTCAGCTTCAAAGCTTTGAGGATGAGAGATGATCACCACACAAAGCCAGCTACATTAAGAAAAATTAGATCAACTGCATTTTTTAAAATACATGCACAAACTGGAATAGGTCCTAAGAAAAATGGTCAGGATCCAGTGACAGCTAGAAGTTATAGAGAGGGACAGTTGAAGGAGTGGGGAATTTTCACCCAGACATAAGATAGCATGTGGGAGACCAAATAGAGTGCACAGGAGTTATCTGCAAAAATATGAGGCAATGCCATTCAGAAAATATCCAATCTCAAGTTCAAGACTGGACAGGAGAAAGTTTCAGCAAGACTAATTTTTAGTTGAAAATAAGGTTTAAAAATTGTTTAAAAAGCTAGAACTACCCATTTCGATTTAGCGCGTGGTGAGAGACAATGAACGTTTGCTAAGACATTTGTTGCCACACTCAAATTTGTGTATGTGAATGGTGAATTCTGCCCCACCTTTTATAATGGGCCTAGTCAATGATATAGTCACTCTAGCAACTCCCATGTTCTGTGTCCCTCTGTGCACCCTTATCACAGATTTCTCTATCTAGCTTTATGGCCCATGGGTTTATGAGGTCTCTCTTCCCACCTTAAGGTTCTCAGTCCATACACCCCTATCTGTATTGATTTGCCTATGAGTCTGGCTCTTGAAAATATCTCCACTTCAAAACTTTTGTGTTCTTCATCTTACTAAATATGTAAGGTCATATCTACGTGGGTTTGATTACAGAAACTAATAAAGTATTCTCTAAATAATAAAAAAAAAGAATAAGATAAGACTATAAGAGCAAGAAGCAATTTAAATATGTTCAGGGACCATTTTCATCTCCAGAATTAAGGATTATTTTAATGTAACATCATTGCCTTTTCTCTTTTACTTTCCTTTTTAGTTTTATTTTAGGATTCCCTATTTTTAATGTTCATACAGAGATTTCTTTAACTGAAATACCAAATAGTTTCTTTGGTGTGAAAAGCTATAATAGTACACAGGATCCTAATGAGATAATTAATAATGTGAAATAGGAAGTAAAGGGCTAAAGGTGTAGGGAAAGTGGGAAGGGTGGGGGAAAGGTAATAAGGGAGAGGAAAAAAAATATGAGAAACTGAAAAAATGGAAATAAAGTGTTTGTAAATGGGGAGGGGAGGAGGGGGTGAAGGGAGGGCAAGGACAAGGGGAAAAAATGAGAATCAAGACCTATTATGTAAAGGTACAAAATCCCAATGATGAATGTAACTGCACTGTATACCTAGATTGTACCAATAAACTCAATAAAAGAAAGAAAAACTTTTGTGTTCTTGAAAATTTAAATACATTTTTTTCTGGTTAAAGCAATAGGCAGTCCAACAATTAAGTTGGGGAATCTCAAGACCTTCAGATATGCATGTGAAGTGTTTGACTGCTACCTAGAATTTGACTTCTTGTCAAACCATCTTGGATGGTTTTTGTCACATTTAACACATGTACTAGAACTGCCAATTGGCAAATGACAATATTAATTTATGCACTGATAGCAGCAGATATGCCTTTGTAATGGTCCATGATTTTGAGATGCTGAAAATTTTATTTTTAAACCTTTGTAGAAAATCTAATTTTAAAATTATAAACTTGTTTTTTAAAAACCCTAGAACTACCCAACGACAGCCTTATAATGCTGAGTTCCCCATCACTGAAGACATTAAGGCAAAGAATGGGTAACTATTAAAATAGTCTGTAATGGAATTTCTGCATCCTATGGGAAATTAGACCACAAAAACCTGTTTCCTTGCAGCTCAAAACTGTTACTGTTCTAGAATAGGCAGCTTTCTTGAGGATAGATGTAAGTTCCAACTCACCAGTTCGTGCCAAAAATTTCCTAGAGATTAATTCCTTTGACTTCATCTTCTTTCAACATTAAGAAAGAAAATATTTCAATATTTTAAACTGCTATCATTTACAGTTACCTACCTCCATGTGAATGAGTCTATGTGGCCCTTTCCCAAGAAAAGGTATACATGATGGTTGATGAGAAGCATAAAATGGCCCTGAGCTATAAAAGCAGCTATTTGGGAGCCACTTAAAGGGAAGGAAAGGGTGCTCCAAGGACCAAGCTCACAATCTTATATATCAACAAACCAACTTGGTTCTTGAAACTCCATTTTAATTTCTACCCCATGGTCCAGTGCATGTGCCAATTATTCTCACTGTTTCTTTAATCCAAGGGTGGTTAATGAGCACCAGACCAGGCTCTCTCTGACTATATGAGAGAATGCCCACTCCACAATCACCAGCCAGCTGTGCTGCTGAAATTAACTTGCTCAGCTGGCCCTCCAAATAAAGCCATTTAAAGAATGCAATGTACCATAGAAAGCAATTTGTTTCCTTAAGATTTAGTACCCCACGTGAAGATTGATTTTGATTTGAAAGACAGAAGCTACTGCAAGGTGAATAATTTTAAGTTTAACATATTCCTCCTCTTGAGGAGCCAAATGCATTAAAATTAGGAGCAAAGTGCTTCTAATTTGTCAATCACTCCTCAGATAATTCTGTTCCTACATTACCAGAGAAATTGCCCAAGAGACATGGCTTTTGGCTCCTTTCATCTCTACTATTCTTTTAACTCGATCATGGCTGCAGTATGCAAATGTGCCTCCACTGCTAGGGGTGGGTTAAGAGGATATCCAAGATAAAGACAGCCTCAAGCCTTCATTAAGTTTGTCAGGAGGTCAGAGATTCAACAGGTCTCCTAAGCTTTGACATACATCAGGTTGTAGGGCAGAGTGCTCCATGAAACAGTAATAGGGAAGGCATTGTTCCACTATTTGAGATCTTGCAAGCACATGTTTTCCTTCTGTCTATTGCCAAGCACTTCCTCAGGGCCTACTTTGTATGAGTCTCTGTTCTTGGCCCTTGAGCATACAGATGACCAAGGACAGACTTGGCCTTCAAGGAGCTCAAACATCAGAGAGACAAGAAAATCTGCATTTTCCCCTAAGGAGGAGAGTGCTGGATGGGAAGTCAGAGCAGGACCCTGAGACCATTGAGGAGGGTGCCTGTCCCAGCCTGAGGGTGTGTGCAAAGCCTCTGGAGGAGGGAATATCCTTGAGAATGGCATGACCAACACTGGGTAGATGGTGGAGGATGGTTCCAGAAGGAAAATTGGATACAAAGAGCATGTAGAGTCACTGCTAACTATTGTTAGATACATTGGACATGCCAGGCACCATCATATGCACTTTGCACATATTTTCTCATTTAATCCTCACAACAATCCTATACAGTAAGCTCTATTGCAAAGAAGATACTATCATTATTCCAGTTTTATAGATGAAGAAACTGAGGTGCTGAAAAATTAAATGAGATGCATGAGGTAACAGCTTATAAGCCAGGATTCAAATTCAGTAAGTCTGGTACAAAGTCTGTGTAAGTGCACTGCCTTCCAAAAGACATGGATGGCTGGGAGAACTCACAACTAGAGAGGAGGGAGATGGTTCCATGTGGGAAATCTCACAAGACAGTTGGACATACAAATGGCGTTCTCCTTGGAATCTTGGGATAAAATTTGAAAAACTCCTAGCATGGGACCCAATATGTAATAAGTGCTCAATATATTATACTAATTATTATGATGATGTGCATTTGTTCACAATGGGAGGACAAAAGGCCAAATACTTCAGCAAATTGCATGGTCTTTTGGGTCATGCAAGGTCTGGAAATTATCCTGAAAGTAGCAAAGATTCATACTTGGTAGGGAGGTGATATGCCTGTGGTTTAGGTGAGCATAGGGAAGGTGGAGGGCAGAAAGACCTTGAAGGCATAGAATGTGCCTTGAAGAAAAACATTAAAATTGGATGACAGAAGTAGATGCAGAGAGGACAGAAGGTGGGATTGTTTAGTGAGGAAACAGAGAAAGATTGTAAGTGGTAAGAAAAAGAAACATTTCTGCCTTAGGCAATTAGATAAATATTGGTACCATTTCCAAAACAAAAAAAAATGTGAGAAAGGAAATAATGGATTGTGTTGTAAGATAGAAGCAATTATGGGGTGTGCATGTGGGAATATTCAACAGGTCTTCGGAAACTGTTATAGCTTAGATATGAAATATCTCCCCAAGACTTGTGTGTTTAAAGCATAATTCCCAGCGCAGCAGTATTCAGAATCAGGGCCTTTGGGACAGTGATGGGATCACAGAGAATCTAACCTCATCAGTGGATTCATTTGTAATTTAACGGGCTATTGGGAGGTGATGGAAACTTAGGAGGTGGGACCCGGTTGAAGGGAATGGGTC